CACAGTTCACCAACAGCTGGTTAAGCAGAAGAAATGCACTTTCATAAGCTGTGGAAGCAGTTGGATTACATCAAAAGTCCCCACATGATATGATAGACACAAGCTGTTTCTCTGTGAATCCTGTGTAATCTGTATTTGCAGCAGTGAGCTTTAAACTAAGAAGTGCTGACAAAAAGCAAAGTGTACTTTTAGCAGAGGTTATAGATTCATGTCGTTATCTGAGGGGCTGCCATGTGCATCCCTGCTGTGCTGTGTCTAAAATGAGCCTCATTTTGAATACTAACTCAGGTAGGCTGTTATCAGATGTGCGCTCCTGTCCCAAAGGCAAATGAGTTCGTGTAAGAACGTGCTGTTTGGTCCTTATCTGCCTGGCCTTGAACACTTCTGATATGCCCCGTGTCTGCTGATGTCTCACTTCTGCTGATCACCTCAGGATTCTCACTCCTTTCTCTCCCATCTGGCTTTCTTTCCAGGAAACACGTGCAGAACGGGATCACAAAGGAGAAGCATTTATAACAGGCCCTCCGTCGCCACCACCTGGCACTAGGCTGCTGGTACATGCAAGACAAAGACGCCCTCCTTCAACGTGGAGCATGTTTTAAAGGAAGAGCATCTTGAAAGGGAAACATCGAGTCTGATGACTTTTTACTCTCTGTATTTGTTTTTAGAACATTTCAAATCATCGCTGTCATTTTGTTTCCAGATTGGTTTCATTGGAGCACTGTGAATGTTATTTCAGCCGACTTTTTGTCTTACTCTTGTTAACTTTACATTTGACAGATTCAGTAGAAACGAGCAGTTTGAATGAGAGCTGTGATTGTCCTGTACAGCTGTGCACCCTGCGCAGCACCGCAGCGCCCAGGCGAGGAAAGGTTTTGGCCAGTAAATGGTTCTGTAGACATTTAGATATTTAGTAATTCCTAATGAATCGCTTCCTCCGTCTTACACCTCCACCCGTCCTCTCTGACCTATGATAGGAGGAGGAAGGGCAAAAAACAAACATGGCGCGGTGGTGTGAGAAAGGCTGCCTG